TCGTTGCATGCTCATCGACCATTAGTTTGATCAAACGCTCGCGCTCCTCATGGTAGCGACGCTGCTGCTCTAGTAGCGTCTCCATTATGCTAATTGTTTATTTGAGAGAAATAATAAATTTTCACGAAATAGCGTGTGTACATACGTACTTAAGAGCTGCACTTTATGTATCGATACTAGTGATGACAATTTAGAATGAGCACTCGATATATATTGGTATCGAGTTTATACATTGTATTAGAAATAGACTGCTAATTTGAAAGCTTAATTTTTATATACATTTAATTATAAACTTTTGATTTTAGCTATTCACAAACATATTTTTTTAACGATTCTAATCGAATGCTTAATCGATTGATTGCTTTGCAGCTGATATTTATATAAATCGATGCATTGATGCAATATATTAATATCGATATTTGCGATTGTTATTTGCCCCGAATTTGGGTATTTTACAGCACTGCGCATCACGAAGTAAAAATCATATGATCGATTAGTGGTAGTGAAAATTTCAGACGACGGACAGAAGGCACACACACTGCAAGTAAATCTTCGGTTTCGTTTTAGTCTCGTGTTAAATAATTTAATATTTTACCTTAACTGGTGTGTTGTATAATTAAGATATTAATTAAAGAGTTAAAAATAATTACAGGCACGGTAGTACGTGAATTCCTTCGGAACTATTGAACTTCTATTTCGATTTTGTGGCAAGTGAGAAAAATCAGTCAAGATGGCTTTGAGCGATGCTGATGTACAAAAACAGGTAAATATAAGTGTTATTGAAAAAATATTTAATTGCACAATGTTTTTGGGGAAGCTGGATATATGAAATAATTGTTTCTCCAAGTGAGCATTAGAATTCCAATGCCACGGATTTGGTAGCAATAAAGATGGCGAAGTCATGGGATTCTCGCCGTAGTCATGTGAATTTTGCGTACAAAGTTTTTCTGTTGCTAAATATTTTAAAGATGAATTTTCATAGTCGTTCGTTACATGATGTGTATATACTATAAAGTATGTATATTCATCAGGAATTAAGTATGTGTTTTATGTTTCGGTGGACGAAAAAACAAAAAACAATTGTTAAAAACTTTACGCATTAGCCAAAATGCTTATTGGTCATGTGACAGACATTACATTTGAGCTGTGTGCTAAAGCGAGACGACTAGAGCACCGAACACCCTATTGCCAACGCAGTCACACGACTTGTCTGTAAATGCACTTGTCGCGCCTTATCAATGCCATTGAATATTTTTACAGAAAGTAAAAACATAGTAAATATAATATTTGCTAATGGTTAAGTTTGTGCCGGGAAACAACTGCTAATGGAGTCTGTGATGCACTCAAATACATAGGTCTAGATATAAGTAATCATGTGATTAGCTTTGAGGTTTGTTTTTACACTGTGTTTTAGGTGTTTATTACAAACATTGTTTTTATAACTTTATTTATATACACTTCCGTTACAGATTAAACATATGATGGCTTTCATTGAGCAAGAGGCCAATGAGAAAGCGGAAGAGATTGATGCCAAAGCCGAGGAAGAATTCAATATCGAGAAGGGACGTCTTGTCCAGCAACAGCGTCTCAAGATAATGGAGTACTACGAGAAGAAGGAGAAGCAGGTTGAGCTGCAGAAGAAAATTCAATCCTCAAATATGCTCAACCAAGCCCGCTTGAAGGTCGGTCAGTCCAAGTTCCACATAAAAGGACGATCTAATATGTATTTTTTTCACAGGTGCTCAAAGTGCGTGAGGATCACGTAAGCAGTGTGCTCGATGATGCACGCAAACGTCTCGGTGAAGTCACCAAGAACGAGAGCGAATACAAGGTCGTGCTAAGCAAACTGATTGTGCAGGGCCTGTATCAGGTGATGGAACCTAAAGTAATCCTACGCTGCCGTCAAGTTGATGTACCCCTCGTCCGGGATGTAATCCCAACATCTGCTGAGCAGTACAAAGCGGCAATGAAACAGGACGTTGAAATTGTTATTGATGAGAAAGATTTTCTGCCAGCTGATACCTGTGGCGGTGTAGAGCTGTTTGCCTTGAACGGACGCATCAAGGTGCGTAGAAAAATATTTAATTAATACATAAGTCTTATTGATGGAGCCTGATTATTTATGCAGGTGCCAAATACTCTGGAGTCCAGATTAGCATTGATTTCGCAGCAACTTGTGCCAGAGATCCGCAACGCCCTGTTCGGCCGCAACGTTAATCGCAAATTCACTGATTAAAATTCTTCTTTAAGTGCAAAAAACAGTAAAAGAAAAAACAACAATATCAACAAAAAAGTTCAAGCTTATAATACCAACAATAATAACTACAACCACAAGAGAAGAAAAAAAAAAAAACTAAAAAATGGAGGAAAAGGAAAACTCATACTCTTGAACTCATTTAACAAAATTGTGTCTATCAATTATAATTATTATTGCCGTTGTCTTTTTATAGTGAAGCAAAAACCTTTTGGTCAGATATGTGAGCTACAATTATGCGTTATACGTACTTGCATATTTGCCAATTATTACAATATATATAAATATATATATTTTAGAGTATATTTCAGATAAAGCAAAAGTTCTAAGTGCATTCAAATCCGTTAAAGAGTTTGTTAAAGTTTGGTTTTTTATGACTTATCGGCGTTAACAATATAAGCTAA